TATTATTTTCGTTATGTATTGCTAAGAGAGGTAATCCCTTTTTGCCTTACGTTAAACCAATCCCCATAGTACAAATAATACAAAGGTTCATACTCATTTCTAAAGTTGTAAAACTCTAATCTAGATATGTATTATGTAGTTCTAAAGTATTCGTAACCAAGAATAAATTTATTTTGAAAGCACGCAAGCGCCATTTGTTGCAGCTAATCTTAAATACGTCAGAAATGTATTACAGCATCACGAAAAACTTTTTTCATATAAAGAGAGATAAGAATAATTGTTATTAATATATACACAGTCGGATCTCTCTGTAACGAAGTCGCTGAATCCCGGAAAAAAGTTCGTTATATAGAGATTCATCTTTTAATATACTTTATAAACAACATAAAACAAATTTTAAATTAATAAATACTGTATATTAAAAAAAGTAATTATTCTCAGCTTTTTTTAAATTAGTATATGTTTATTTTATATATATGACCCATCAAAAAAGAAAGAAAAACTGCAAGGAAAACAAGAAAAAAGAATGTCGAAGAATTTACTGTATTTTCAATATTAAGAGAATAATTTTATGATAAAATTAATGAACTTTAAGGACATTTTATTATTTAAAGCATACAAGTTATATTAAACATACATTTTTTTATAATTTATACACGGGACAACTCCACTGAGGGTGAAAGAGGATATCGAAGATTTTTCTAGTGAGCTGGACTCTAGGGGTTATAGGTTGCATTTCTTGGATGAAACGTCCAGAACTCTATTGCTCTCGGCGAGTTAGGATCTAATAAAACCAATTCATGATTTATGACCAAAATAAAATGTGTTAAAGAGAGAATAACTTGAAATTTTTTCAGAAATACTTTAAAAAAAGGGAGAACAAAAATTGAATTTCAAAAAGAAAAGGTTCGTTATATAGAAAATGGACTTCGCTATAGAGAGGTTATTTTACGAAGAAAATCGTGAAATGTTCAAGGTTCCAGGAAAAAGTTCGCTATATAGAAAAATTCCTAATACAGGGAGGTTCGACTGGAGAGAGAGGTTATATAGAGGTTCGACTGTATATATATATATATATATATTGTACGAGGTTTTTTCTGAAATTTTTGAAGTACACCTAAGTTTCTAAAGTTATACTTACAAAATTGTAGGAGTGTTTAAAATAGTCTCCTCCAGCATCAATACATTTTTTTAAAAAAAAATTCCCCACGGATTAAATACTTCAAACCATTCATTTCTTGGAATTGATAGGAAAATGCATTTATAGCTACATCAATCGTCTTCTGAATGAAAACGATGTCCTCGTAAGCTCTTTTTCTAGACTAAAAATAACCAAAAGTCACACATAGCTAGATCTGGAGAATAAGGTGAATGTTCTCTCACTTTAATTTGTTTTTGCTTAAGAAACTCAACCGTTAATTTGGTTGTATGGGAAGATGCATTGTCATGCTGAAGCATTAGTCTCCTAACATTCACTTTTTGGAGAATTTCTAGAAAGCATTTAATGGTATACCAGTTTGCTGTTACTGTCTTCTGTTCTTCTAACTTGAAGGCTTTGACCTATCTCGTACTTCAGAAGAAAACGGCATACATTACTTATTTCGTTGTCCGTTGTCTTTTCACCATTGTCGGTGTAGGATCATCTTCAAAGACCCATACTTTGCTTTCTTGACGTATTGACACGTCAAAAATGGTATGTACTTTTCATCACCCGTTAAAATTTTAGAAACGCTGCAGTGGACAACCTCATTTTGTAATTTAAGGGCTTCCTTACTGATTTTAACACGCTTCTCTTTTTTGTGCTCAGATTTTGGGGAATCCAACGACAAACTACTTTTTTCATATTTAATTCTTCCTAAATAATTTTGTGTATGGTTGTGGATCCAATGTCAAGTTCCTTCTGTATCTTATGGTACGTACAGCGATTATCATCCGGGACACATTATCCGGGATTACTGCCGACCGTGGCCTTCCTGTGTGATCATCATCCTGAAGAAAATTGCGACCTCTACAAAATTTTCTTTAAATCATCTGAATACAGTAGCACAACATGGAGATTCATCTTCAACTTCTAACTGCGGTCGTTGAACACGCATTCGTTTTGATTTAATCCCGCTTTAAAATCCTAGCACGATAATGTTGTCAAGTCAACTCTATTTTCTCTTCTGTCTAAAATTTATTTAAAGCCAAACAACTTGAAGTAAGTCAGTAAAAAATTGTGTGTGTGTGTGTGTGTGTGCGTGCGTGTGTGTTCGCAGTAGCCGAGGGATCATGGTCACGGGGTTTCGAATCCTAGTGTCACTGAAGACCCTTTGTGTAGAGGAGGTTATTTGCACGTTGTGGTTTAAAATTCTCACGTTGCTGTGGTGTTAAAGTCTGGAGGGGAGACAACAGTTCTGGTGTTGTCCTCGTCAATTACAGAGAGTTGATGATATAACATTTGCTTGAATTTTAAAAGATTCTTTTAAAATTTGGTTACTTAGAGAAATATGTGTTATTTTTCATATTGAAATCTAAATCCTTGCACATAACTGTTATATCGTGTTCTTATCACTTAATTTTACGTCGACTTTTTTTTTTAAAAAATACGTTTAAGGTGTTTAAGTTTTAAACGAAAGAAATATTGATTAAAATATACATTTCCTTTTATAATTTGTCTACACTTTTTAAATTTTACTTGAAATTAAATATTATTATTATTTTTTTGATTAATCAAAAAATTTTGGGTCCTTTAATTTATTTTGACCGGTTATTCATTAATAGAAAATTTCTAAATTGATTACATTGTAAATCGTCTCCCTGGGTTTTGTTATAGCTTTGAAATTTAATTAATTTAAATATTTTCTTCTTTTTTTTCTCTTTTTTTCCTTCTGTTTCAAGTGATTTTCATGATAAAAAGGTAAAATACCCCTCACACACACAGTAAGAACATTTCTAATTCAACACCTACTATTAGTAGTTCACACTTTCCCTATTAAAATACTTTTAATTCATCCAATCAAGCTCAAATCAATTTTTTAATTTTGTAGTGTATGACACTTGATGGTATAATACAGTTTTTTTCAAATATTAATTCATTAATTTAATTTAATTAATGAATAAATAGTAACAAACAAAAATAATGGTCCAACACCATATATAGAAAGGAAAATCGTTCATTGTGAGCCTGTAGCACAATGGATAGTGCGTTTGACTTCTAATCCAAAAGTCGTGGGTTCGAATCCCTCCTGGGATGGGCTAATGTCTGAGAATCTGATTTCTTTTTACTATACTATTTTATTAGAATAGTTAAATTCAATTTTTGAAATAAATAACAAATAAACAAAAATAGTCCAACACCCTATATAAAAAGGAAAATGGAAAATTGAAAAGGAAATCGCTTTCTATTTTGTGTGATTCTGTCATATGTATATACATATTTGTATTAGTTGTAAAACTAATAATAAGTAACTAAAATAAAAGTTTTCTTTATTGACCTAAGTAGGAATTGACTTAAATTGTTTGTTTGTTTTTATATTACTTGTTTTTTTCTATTTCGATTTTTATGAAGAAAAAGTAAAATACTCATCAGTAAGAACATTTTCCATTTTTTTTCAAAAAATTTTGAATTAAGGTAATCAACGTGACATAAAATTTTAATTATTATTCATTAATTATTTTTCTTTGAACTATTCTTATCACATATTGCACGTAATCATTTTATTAAGATATTGATTCAACAATTCTACATTATTTGTGATGTTTTAAATTGTTCATTAATGAAAATTATAAAAATACCATATAAAAGTTTGTAAGAAATCACTATTTTGTTCATGTTATTTCAAATTGCGAAATTAAACCATATTCCAAGTATGTGAACCTTGTCTACGTAAACGAAATATTGCAGATCGAATCTCGTTTCTATCACAGTCCATGATATCAAATAATGAAGGCCTGGGCCTGATTTTAAACTAACTGGATTTTAAAGTCCATTTCGTAACGAGATTTTGAATTCTAAACATTGACGAAGTTTTTTTACCAACAGCTTGCTGAAAAAGTCAATCTTTTAAATTTTATCATACAAGACATTGCCGTCATATTTAATTTTACAACACATAATAATAATAATAATATGAATAATTTTATAATAAAAGTTTTATATATACAATTTAGAACATGTTCTATTTGAATTTAGACGGAATTTATAAAATGCTAGTTGGAATATTCAGAACAAACTACGTGTGATTTTGTATAACCTATAATCTTTCATTTAAAAAACATTTTTATTTAAGTATGTCGATACATAAAAAAAGACAATTCATGCGTTTAAGAATTTACACTAGTAAAGAGAACCTCTGTTTCCCCCCAAGATTTTATTCTGTTCAATTTTAAAGAAGTAATATAAAAAAAATTAAGTCAATTTCTACTTAGGTCAACAAGGAAAAATTTTATCTCTTTGTTACTTTTTATTAAATAATTACAATTAATATAAATATGTATATACATATGACAGAATCACAACATTAAATGGTAATTAATTTCTATTAATTATCATTAAAGTATCGTTTTGTCGTCCAAAACAATCGTGTTTATAAAATTCCAGTTCAACTGAATGCTTTGAAACGTGAGAAAAAAAAAATCTTTTAAAGTTTGGACCCAAGTCGCTAAAAATGAATCCAACGTGACTGTATTTGTAATTCTTTAGATAATTAGTTTCAGTCAATTAATTTTAATTAAATTATCGTATTTTTACCCAAAACAATAGCGTATAGAAAATTTCCTTGCGATTTTCCATTTTCCTTTCTACATATGGTGTTGGACTATTTTTTTTGTTTTGTTTGTTTGTGTGTGTTACTATTTATATTCATTGCTTAAATTTAATTATTCCAATAAAAAAAGAAAGCACTTTCTCACAAGTTAGGCCATCCCAGGTGGGATTCAAAACCCACGACTTTTGTATTAGAAGTCCAACGTGCTATCCATTGCACTACAGGGACACAACGAGTGATTTTCCTTTTTATATATAGTGTTGGACTTTTATTTTTATATTTGTTACTATTTATTCATTAATTAAATATAATTAATGAATTAATATTTTAAAAAACTGTATTAACTTCAAGTGTCATCCACTACAAGTTTTAAAAAATGTGTTTGAACTTGAGTGGATGAATAGAAAGTATTTTATTAACGATTGAAAATATGAACAAGATATATATACGGAGATTGTGAACTATAATAGTAGGAATTGAAAAAGTGTTTCATTTTTCAAATAAATTCTCCTTCAGTTTCGAAATATATGACCACTTTCCAGAAATGACGTCACGGTACAACCAAAAATCTCAACAAAAAAAAACGGTAACCTACTTTCGTGCAAGGTACGACAGGGAAAAAAACTACTCTTCGCATTCAGGGAAACACGATTTTCCCTTTCCAAGGTATACGTAGGGAATAATTAATGCACGGAAGCTTTCAGGGTAGCTACTGTAATGAGCGGTACCTGCACGAATCTATCTTAGTTTCCCATCTGCGTTGTAATTAAAATTTCCTCGCCGTTTCGTAAACTCGGGGAGCAAATCATAAATGGCGCTCGCTGCCCCTCCATTTATTTCGTTAATTTATCGGAGGAGGTGGCAACGCGCCGTCATAAACCCGCTCTTTCAGTTAGGGAATGTGTTTTTAAGGTTTGATGAGGAACTGGGAAGATCTTCGATTTTATGCGAACAGCGATAAAAGGTGCGTTTTGGTTTTGGGAAAGGGAAAATATTTTTAGAATGGGTGGGTGATTATTTTTGTTTATTGCTCCGGAAAGTCCGGACTTTCTTCTTCTGGAAGTTTTCGGGAAAATTTTTAGAAGTTTGAAATTGTGTACGTAAATCAGATTTAGGTTGTTGTAAAATTCTCCAGTGCACACTTTGTTGCTTAGAACTGTAAGTAATGAATTAAAGAGATAACTTCTGGTTTCTTTTTTTTTAGTTAATTAAAGATTTTAATTTCGGTAAAGGTGTCCTGAATTTTAATGTTGGATTTATTTTGATTTTTTTATTTTAATATTAACTAAAAGTTATTTCATATTCACGATTTTGTTTTCACGGTTTTTGTTATTTGAAATATAATTTTAAAAATTTAAAAATAAAATATAAATCAACTTTTTTCAATATTTTTAAGTAATAGTAAAAGAGGAAAGTTAATATAAATTTTGATATTGTTAAGGTACAGCCTTCGGAATCGTGATTTTGAAAAATGCTTATAAACGGATAATTTTTTGATGTTTAGTGTCATCTGAATTAGAATATACATATAAAATTGTTTTAAGGATGTTATTACAAGAAAAAATTATTCGAATGCAATTTTTTGACAAAACTGAAGAAAATTTTCTTTTTATGATGTATTGCTAGGGCTTCTATTCTGAGACTGATCTAGGATTTTTGCAATACATAATTTAGAAGTAGATTTATTCATACTTGAATGTACAAGAGTATAGAAATTTTAACGAAAAACACACCAATTATTACTTCCGTCAATTGACCGTAACTGTGAAAATAATGTGAATTTCTCAAAAATCTAGTTCAACACCTGTTTAGCATTCCTAGCTAATATACCGGTTGATTCAAAATTTTTAAAAGCATATAACGATGAATGGTAAATTTTTATCACTTTGCTGCCAGTTATATTTTAAAACTGAAACCTTTAAATTACCAACCTAACTATTTTTATTAGTGGGGGTAAATTATGGCTCCGAAATCAGATCCTCAACCCCAAAATGAAATTTTAAAGCTTTTGAAGGATGTTTGCCCAAATTCTGTTATAAGTAAAGCATTTAAAAATCAGAAAAGACATTTTGTTAATGGATTACTATCTAAACTTCGAAAAGAAATAAAATTTGGCTGGCAATCAAAAAAAGGTGGACCAAAGGAATTTCTTTAGGAAAAAGAAAAAAAGAAACTGAAAAGACTTATCGCTATAGAAAATCCTCTGCCACAAAGAACATCAGCAAAGAAACTGTAGGTACCGCAATCGACAATTTCTCATCAGATAAAGAAAATTGGCTATAAAAGTGAATAAACCAGCCTGTTTTCAAATGTCTATTAAGACCTTAGAAAAACAAAGAAAACGTTCTTGGTCTCTGTATTTAACATTACGCAAAGGTAGATACAAAGCATGGGTAACTTTGGATGAAGCACTGTTTCATCTGTGATTCATAACTTGCAAAACGAAGATACAATATATTTAACGCAAAAAACGTCGAAAAGACGTAGCTGTTTTTCAAAATGCAAGTTGGCTGTCAGGTATTATGGTATGGATGGGAATGTCCCCTCAAGGCTTAACAAAACTAATTTTTGTTGAACCAAAGGCTAAAATTGATGCTAAATACTATCAGAATTAAGTTTTGAAACACTTGATCAAAAAAAGTAAATGTCTTTACCCTCAAGGAAACTTAGTTTTTCACCAAGATTCTGTACCAAGTCATACTGCAAAATCAACTACAAAATGGCTGAA